CACAACCACTGCTGGGAAGTATCTGGCGGTCACAGCACGATTGACCATGGCCAGGAAGCTTGGCCAATCTCCAGGGCTCAGAGGAGGGGGAAACCCCCTGCCCAGATCCCTTAGGCCCCCGAATCACCACAGGTCCCACTGTCTCCAAATGGGGAGTTCTCCACAGTATACAAGGGTGCAGGTTGCAGTGGCAGAGACAAGCAGGGCTTTCTGTGAGCCTGGCTGTCATACATTTGGGCTTCAGGTCTTGATGCTGACAGGTCACAGAGATGGGTGCTCCCTGCAGGCTGAGCAGGTATGTGCAGAGCTGCCAGTGTGGGACAGACAGGCAAGGGGTGAGGACACAGAGGCCTGAGCAGCTGGCCCCTGCCACCGGTCTGGCTCCCCTCCCCAAGGAGAGCTTGGCTTGTGCTCTCATGTGGCTAGGTGGGGAGACAAGGGGACACTGTGTAGGTGGAGAGCCAGGGGAAGCACTGCCCTGAGGCAAGAAGGGCATAGACATTGGGCTGGGCAACTCCAGGAGGTACCTGCAGGAGAGTGGGGGGCACAGAGAAGACCAGGTGCCCAGATCCAGTGCTCAGAGGAGCTGGGCAGTGGAAGGAGGTATATGACCTCTGAGAGGAGGTATAGCTGGCTACCCTTGGGCTTGGGCAACCCTGGCCTGCACTGCAAAAGGCAAGGGCAATGTAGGAACTGCTATTTTCTGCCTTTAATCAATAGGTGGGCCACACCCACAGGCTCCTGGACCCAGTGACAGGGACCTGGGCCCTATGACAGGAGCCTGGACACAGTGACAAGGACCTGGAGCCTGTGACAGAATCCTGGTCCCAGTGATGGGATCCTGGTTCCAGTGACAGGACCCTGAGCCCTATGATAGGACCTGGCTCTGCCCACAGGCTCCTGGTTAGGCTTGCAGACCCCTGGCTGACACCCAATGTTCAGTCCTCCTATTGACACCTGTGCCCTGAGGCCCCTGGGCAGCTCTCACCTGCTGCACCCAGATCACCTTTCTGTAGGTTTTGCTTCAGGCAGTCAAGTCCTAAGGAATCTTACAGGGAGATTCATTCTGAGAAATGGCTTTTATGGGGCCTCTTGGAACAGTGGAGGCCATGGGCTGGTGGCCAGGTGGCTTAGGTGTTGAGGTACGGCCTGGGCAGTGGGGTCCCTGAGCCCAGTGGGGAAGAGGCTGAGTCCTCTGCCCCCAGGCAGCTGCCTCTCAGGTGTGAAGCTGCCCCAGCTCTCACCCTTCTGTAATTCCACCTCCTGCCCTCCTTTGAGAATGCAAATCTGGTAACTCAGTCTTTCCTACACCCAGGGGACACAGGATATCTATTATCTGCTCTCCCTCTTGGTGGGGAGACTAGGTCCACAGCTCCTGAAAGAGTCCAGTGGCCCCACCTGGCTTCCGCAGGCCCTGGCACAGAGGAGCATCTGTGGGTGTAGGTGAGGTCATCTGTGGATTAAAGGCAGAAAACAGCATGGCCTATACTGCCCGTGCCCTTCATGGTGCAGGCCAGGGTGGCCTGAGCCTGATGGTGGCCATGCCTCCTCTCAGGTGTGTGTGCACCTCCTCCCTGCTCAGAGCAGGAAACTCAAGACCAGGGGACAGGGCAGAGGCCCATCCCTTCTCCAAGCACCACACCAGGAGTGCTGGCCAACAGAAGAGAGGTGCAGGACCCACCTGGAAGTGCAGGGTACTCACCTGAGGGTATAGAACACTCACCAGAGATAGAGGAGCTTACCTGGGGTGCAGGTCCCATCTGGGAGGTCTCCCCTTTATCAGTGTACTCTGTTTGTCTTCCTAGAGCTGCTCCTACTATTTTTTTTTCTCTAATAGAGAAAGATCAGAGCAGACCAGATGTGAGGGGCCTGCATTTTTGCCACCCAGGGTTCAGGTTCAGTCCCCAAGAAACTAGAGGGGTGGGAAAGCAGAGGAGAGCTAGGCCTCTGCTGGTAGAGGCAAGAAGTCAGCAGTGTAGCCCTAGGTCAGGCAGAGAGTGGGTTGGACCTGTGCTCAGCGGGAAAGGTTCTGGGCCCACAGGCTCTCTGTTGGTTTAGATGCCTCTGTAGTCCAATAAATCTCTGCCTGCACCTTCCATTTATTTTTAAATTAAATTTATTCGTCTTGCTGTCATTATGGAAATAGCATGTGGATTTAATGAAGCAATTCAAACAGCAGAAAAGCGCCCCCAATCCCACCTGCAGAAGCTCCATCTGTTGCCCCTCCAGCCTCCAGGGCTGCATCCTGTCTACTAGTCCATGTCCTGGAGAACCACAGTGTAAACAGCAGTCTTGGCCGTCTTCCCGTGAAGGCACACAGGGCCTAACTCATTTGTTATTTTTTATTTTAAAAAACCTTTAAAAATACTTTCTTAAGCTAATACATGTTCAGGAAAACACAAACACCTAGACCAGAGAGCTCCGACAGGCACTAGGTGCCTGCCAGGCATCATGACCCCAGCCCCTGACTCACACCTGTCCTTCATCCCTAGGGCCTCTGTGCCTGCACTCGAAGCTGATGGCCACAGCCTCATGAGGCCAGTAATGCTACACATCCTCCTAGAACCTATTCGGAGACACCAGGGCCCTGAGCTGAACCATGCCCTGGGAGCCACTTCCAGCCTCAAATGTCCTGTGTCACTGCCACTCTGCAGCTAGGTAGGGGAGATTCCCCCATAGGCCCAGGGGTGAGTGAAAGGGGCTCTGCTTCTCTGAATGCCTGTGTCTGCTTTTTCTCCCAGACTTTCTTCCCAGGCCACCTCTGACCTAGCTACCGCACTATCCCATTAGGGGTGATACATGGGTTCATGGGCCCACTCCCTGTGTCTTCCTGGAATGCTGAGGGTCACCACGGCCTCCACAGGATGTGTGACTGGTTCTGCAGGTAGCCGTGTCCCTCATGCCCCAGGGCAGCTGCCATGTGTGGACATCCTGGTGGGAACATTTGCCCCAGAACTTCAAAGCACAGGTCTTTTGTCTTCAGTGTCCCCTCAAAACCCTACACTGTGGCCTGTGAACCCACACAGTGGATGCCCACCATGCAGGAGTCAGGGTAGCATTCCTGGAGGTTCTGTGCTCTGGAATGTTCTCTGGCATGGGGAGTTGCCCTGCTACCTCTTCTCACTGTAGAATTGCCCTCACTGCCTCTCACCTGCTGTGACTGACAAAGACATCACTCACCTGCTGGGTTTTCACCTGCTTAAGAGGGTCCAGCTATTTAGGAAGGAGCCAGTGGGGGTTCAGGCATTTGACAGGAGAAAAGTAGCTGCAGCCCCTTGACTGCCCTCATCCCTACTGTCCAGTAGGCAGGGCTCAGGTGTGTGGATATCAGCGTATGATGCCTTCTAAACTACAAAGGGCACTCAGTGGATGTCAGGAGACTGCCTGTGACTGTAGCACCCGTGACCACATGGCATACAGCTCAGATACTCCATAGGTCCTTTCTCCTGCTGGGATGGCTCTTAGACCACAGGGCTTGCATCACATTTGAGGCCCCCAAAGGCTTCTCTCGAGGTGTGATCCACCAGCAGCTTCCCATGTTCTTGCAGAAACCGCTATCACTTCCAGCACCTTAGTGGCTTCTCTCCTTGGGCGTCTGGAGGAGCCATGGGAACAGCTCCTGTTTCACACAAAGAAATGGGTCAGTGATAAGACCCATGGCTCTGGCTCAATACCTGACCGGCCTTTCCCTGTCCTGTGGGGACGCGGGAGGCCTCAGGCCTCATCTTTCAAGGGGAGCATTGCTGAGGCCATGATTTAAGTTTGCCCTCCACTTGACCCCCCCATTCCCACCTGGCCCAGCCCTTGCGTGTCCAGGGGCCCCAGAATGGTCCCCTCAGCAGAGTGGGAAGGTGGGGCCCACAGCCCCTGACAGCCTTCAACCAGCCTGTAAGCTTCATTTGGGCTTTCTGGTTGTTTGGGGAAATTTGCAGGAACTTGAGCATTCAAGACCCCCCCATAGCTGGTGCTGAGGCCACAGATCTGAGGGATCTCAAGAGTTTCCCAGTCTTGGCACCCTCCAGCCAGGACTTGAGCTTCTGTTTGTATTTGAGGGCTTCTCACATTGCCTCTGCACATTTGGCTACTCAGACCAGTGGTTGTGACACATGGAGATCTAGACCCACAGGGGTCTAGGGGTCTCCTGGGGTCACTCCTGGGGTCTCATCCTGGACAGAGTTGATGCTGGGTGGAGAGGCAGTCTCAGCAGCCTCACTGCCTTTCCCACCCAGCCAGGGGCTAGTATTCATGGTGGAGCCCGCTAGTGTGGTTGAGGACCCGGAGGAAGTGCCTGGAGTGGCCTGTGTCCCTGAGCCCTGCCAGGGTGTTTACCTCCTCAGCCTCTGACCTGGAGTCAGGCACCTCAAAAGTCCAGAGAGCATCACTGTGCTCCCAACATGGGGGTCCCACAGCCTCCCTGGGTCTGGGAGGCTTCTGCTCATTGGGAGGGCTCTGGGCTCCTGGTAGATCCTCCTGATACCCTGAGGGTCACTGCTCACCCCCCTCTTGCTCGGTCTTCAAAAGGCTCAATACTGAGAGGGACTGTGTCACCTCATGGCCCCTGGGAAGGGTGTCATCCCAGAGTGTGTCCCAGAGCTGCAGGGGGGATGTGGGCTGGGCTGGGGCAGTGGAGCCATGCTGGGGGCCAGGCAGGGTCTGCTGTGGCAGGACCCTGAGCCTCCCTGGCTTGCACCCCAGAGGGCAGCCACCTGGGTTCTGCTCTTGCTGATGGTTTTAACTGGTTTGGGGAGGGTGTCCTTGACCCACCAGCTGGGTGGCGGGGAGACTCCCAGTGCCAGGAGGGTAGCAGCCCCTCCCACAGCTTCTCTCAGCTCTGCCATGTCCAACAGCCGGACACACACTCACCTGTGGGGTAGTTGGCTCTGAGGGGCCTGAGGAAGGTCCACCTGCCTCCATGCTCTGGGCCCCTCCCGAATGCATCTCCTGTCCCGACCCTGTGAGAAGCAGAGTGACCCTTCCTTCCCTCCTTCCTCTCACAGCGACATGGCTGACAGCAAGGCCAAACCCACCAAAACTGCCAACAGGACGCCTCCTAAGTCCCCGGGGGACCCCACGAAAGACAAAGCAGCCAAGAGGCTGTCACTGGAGTCAGAAGGTGCTGCCGAGGGGGCGGCTGCCACTGCCCCTGAGCTCAGCGCCCTGGAAGAGGCCTTCCGGCGCTTTGCTGTGCACGGGGACACACGGGCCACGGGGAAGGAGATGCATGGGAAGAACTGGTCAAAGCTGTGCAAGGACTGCCAGGTGATAGATGGGAAGAACGTGACTGTCACTGACGTGGACATCGTCTTCAGCAAGATCAAGTAAGTGCTGCTGGGCTCTGCCCAGGCCAGCCGGCTTCCCTTTCAGGGCCAGGGTCCATGCTTGGGCGTCAGGGTGTGTGTACCTCGGGGAGGTCTACAGTTCTTCATCCTGGGGGTGGAGTCTGTGTTTTAATGGGCAGCATGGAAATGCAGTGTGGTTGTGCTTTAAGACACCTGCCCTGCTCACAATATGATGCCCAGGAACAGGAACAGAATGCATGGTGTCAGGGATGACCCAGGGACAGCAGAGTCCTAGGATGTTTCTGGATTTCTTGGCGCACTGCCCCTGGGCCTGCAGTGGGGTGTCTGACCTTGTAGCTGACTTGGGGTGAGCTCTGCTCCCCCTGCCAGCAAGCTGGTGCCCAGCATCACAGGCCTCGCATGACCAAGTACAGTGCAGCACATCATAGGGGCCTCCTCTGTGACTAGTATCTCACTTAGGCCCCACCAACCCCCTGTGCTCCTTCTCTCCACTTCTGGAATTTTTACACATGTAGAAAAGTTGAAAAATAGAGCAAAGAGCACCACAGAGGCAGTGGCAACCACCACTTGAGCCATTTGCTTCATCTGTGCACACACATGTGCGTGTTCCTGTGCTGTGTGTGTACACACACAGTTCCCATGTTGTGTGTGCACATGCATGCATGTTCCTTGTGGTATGTGCACATGTGTTCCTGAGCTATGTGTGTATATGCACCTGCACATATTTCCTCTTGCATGCTGGGACGTGTGTTGAGGCATTCTCACACCCACCTTCACATCCGGCCACTCACCACAACCCTGTGATCACACCTGTGAAAAGTAATAGTTGTCTCCAAGGGCATCCCCCGGTCCAGCCCTGCCCAGATCAGCCTGTTATGGAAATAGCTTTATTTCAGCTCCCTTTTGCCTATGTCCACTTATAATCAGTGGTGTGTATTTAGCTGTATGTCACCATAACTTCGTCATTGCTTTCCTCTCCAGTTCTCCCTGACTTTCCTCCCAATGGCCTTGGCTCTTGAGGGGGATGGGCATTGGCCAGATGTCCCCATCTCTGTCACCTGGGTAGGTAACATGGTCTTCATGGTTGTGCTCTCTGTCACCACTGTGCCCTGTAGGGAAGCTGTGGGGTGTCTCCAGGTGTGGTAAGGTCCTCTGGTTCCCTGTGTTACTGGCTGATGCCCATCCTGGACACTGACTTGAGGGGCAGCCATCACTGCTGTCACCAGAGAGCTGTGGGCCAGCCTGCTCCTGGGGACAGCTCCCTAGGGACAGCACTTGATCCCATTGGGCCAGAGGTAGAGGTGGCACAGTGGGATAGGGTGGTGGTCCTACCAGGGGCTGCAGACAGGTGCTGGTCAGGGAGGGGGAGTCAGTAAGAACTTAGCATAGACTGGCCCCACCAACACTACAGGTCTGGTCACTGCTCTAGTGTGGCCAGTCTCTCCTCAAGGCCCCTGGATGGAGAAGGCAGGGGGTGGTATAGCCCCAGGGAAAGGGGTTCCATGAGTTTACTGCTGCCCAGGACCCTGCTGAAGACTTGGCTTGTCCTATGTCCATAGGAGTCTGGGCCTTTGCAGAGGGCAGGTGGGCAGCTCTAACATGCTGTGTTCCCTGGATAAGCTTTGTGCTGTGGATGGTTTGCTGGAGTTGGGAAGACTGCCCACCTCTCAGGTTCCCCTGACTCTAGGTTAACAGGCATTCATCACCTTGGGGCTTCCCACTTGGCTGCGTGGCCCTTCCCACTTGACAGGAGGTGGTGTGGACAGATCAGCCCCACCCCCAAGGACTGGCTCACTCTGACCCAGGACCTCTAACCTAGGACCATTGCCCTTTTTTCCCTGAGCTCACCTGGACCCCGATTTCTGCTCTGGCCAAGGTCCAGCTTCCTTTGCAGCACCCAGCCCTATCTGTGAGGCATGTGTGGACTGGCATGTTCCAGAGCAGTGCCTGTCGGGGAGGGGGCTGGGCAGGGTGTGTGTTTCAAGTGTTTCCCCTGTACCTCCAAGCTGGGGGCTGTGGCAGCTCCTCCGTGGTCCAACCTGAGGGTCTCGGTGCCCACTGTCCCTCCACCGGGGGCTGTGAGCATCACCTGAGCCTGGGGACCAGAACCTGCCAGGGGCTTATCCTCCCAGTGGGGTCTCAGGACACACCAGCCCCTACTAGGAGATGAGCAGCTTCCTCATAGCGATGGGTCCTGTGGTGTGGGTCTGAGTGGATAGTGTCAGGCAGCAACAGGCAGGTCCTGGTGATCAGAGCTGTTCCACAGGTCAGCCAGCAAGTGGCACTGGCCTGGCTGTGGCCAAATGCCCAAGGACTGGAGCCCAGAGCTCACTCTGCCAAGTGGATGAGTCTAGCACACCAACTTGGAGAGGGCAGCCTGGTCAGTGGTCCTCTCCATGTGAGTGGCATGGGAAGCAGAGGTAGTCACAGAGCTCTGCACCTGTGTGTTCGGGACTGGGGATAGACACTGGACTGGGAGGATGGTAGCCCTTGACCATGTGTTCTTCTCCCAGGGCTCTGAGCATCCTGGCTTCTGTGGTCTGGCTCTTTGCCCACCCAACTCACTCGGCAGGTCAGGGGCACTTCTCAGGTGGGGCCTGGTGTGGTCACCCTGCTCCAGTCCTTCCAAGCTGTCCAACGCTAGTCTCAATAGTCCCAGTGTGTCAAGTGGTAAAGGAGCCCCAAGACCTGTGCCTGTGGGTGAAGCTTCTAGAAGGGTGAGGCTGGAGGTGGGAAGACATGGTCTGCCCAGTGGCCAGTCACTGGCAGAGGGACCTCACATCCCTCAGCCACCACAGCCCCAACACTGCCATTTGCAGTCACAGACACAATTTCTTCTTCTGCAAATGCAGCACATGCCCTGGCACACATGCACATGCACACATAGGCCTGCACATGCATGTGGGAGGGGGCTGTCTGGCTGGGCAGCAGGAGCCTGGCAAGTGGGAAGGCCGAGGGATCCTGACCTGTTCTCCCTGTTCACCTGTATGGGAGGAATCTCACCTGGCCCCCACCCTGGGGGCTGCCTCCCTCCTGGAGCCAGGATTGTTCTTGGGCTCGCTGTGGCCTGAGTCCCAGTCTCTTCTGGGCTGTGTCACCTGACCACCCAAGTGTGCAGTAGCAAGGACTTGAACTCATACCCTTGTCCGTGTCAGAGAGAGGTGGACACTACCCTGGTAGGGTTAGGGGATGATGACCCCACAGGGTTGTGGGAGCACAGTATCCCCAATGGGATCAAGGGTCCTACAAAAAGAACTGGAATACGGGGGGAGGGGGGATGATTGGGAAGGCCAGGTGGCCAGCTTAGGCAAGGGCAGGGGGCACTCCTGCTCTGCCTTTTTAGGAGTGGGATGTCCACTCCTATAGTTGCAAAGGGGCAACTGTAGAAGTGCCTGCCCTCAGGAGCCAGAGCTGCCCGGGTACTCAGGCGGGACTCAGTAAAGAAAAGTGCAACTATTTCTGTTTTCAGGGCAGGTTGCCATGACTCCGCAGGCTGGGTGCCAGCTGGGGTATCTGTGGCCTTTGTTTAGCCCTTGTCGCCACGGCAGCACATGTTTGTTTTGATGTTACTATGTGTTAAATCTTAAACAAATTTCTTACAGCCATATCCAAGTTTTTTATTGAAGACTACTGTTAGGCCAGACAGAGACACCCCCACAGAGACACTAATGAATCCTGACTTGATGTGACAGGTGGGGCCCAGGGCAGTGAGGTTGGGACCCTGGGGGCTGTGGACAGCAAGTCTGTGTGTGCCCAGGAGGGGCATGTGTGCCTTGGGGATCCCGGGAGTCAGGCTCTGCCCACCCCTGCCCACTCCAATTCCCTGCCTGGGCTGAACATCCACAGGCCTCGCCCCCTGGGCCCTTGGCGTCCCTCTACACAGGGGGAGGCCCACCTGGGAGGCAGAAGAGGAAAGCCAGGCTGGGTCTCTGCGACGGAGGCCACGCCCCACTCCCCTCGCCTCCCACCCCTGCTCCAGCTTGACTGTAGGCTGCTATGTTCTCCTGCATGGGTATACCAATGCTTCCTACAACACTTGTGCAAGGCCTGGTGGGGGCTCAGCTTGGGGTGACCCGGTGGGGGCCAGTTGTTGTCTGGATGCAGATCAGGAGGAAGCAAGGGCAGTGGCCAGCCCTAAGGAGGGCAGGGCCCCGGGGCTCCCTGGGGTCTCCTGCATTACCAGGTAGGGGGAGCCACTGAGCTAGTGCCACCCACCACATCCAGTAGACCCAGGGGACTGGTCCTCCAGCCTGCAGATGGCTCCGCACAGAGCCACTCTATGACCACCTGTCGGGGGGTATAAGGAGGGGCAGGGGTGAGCAGAGCTCTGTGTGCAGCCTCACCCTGTGATTCTGCCAGAGCCAGCCTGGTTGAGCCCTCTGGAGTCCTGAGCCTAGGTCAGAGTCAGGCTGGGCCTGTCCCTCTATAGCCCTCTAGTGGCCACTCGTGGTAGAACAGGCGTCCACTGGTTTTGCAGGGAGGAGGCCAATGGGTGTGGAAGGGCGGCTCATGAGGGCGTCTGTTGCACAGGTCAGCGAGCTACTGGCCCCATGACCTTGCAGGGCTCTTGGGAGTCTGCATTGGCTCGCTGGGCTGGGATTGGAAATTCTCCATGGCGTTGGCTGGTGACAGGAGCCATTCCTTGCTCCCTGTCAGCTTAGGCATGTCCTGGATCCATCCACTCTGCCTCATCAGCCTGGCTGGAGGGTGCACCTGGTCATATCAGAGGATGACCTTCTACAAACAGCCAGAATCTGTCTGAAAGGCCCCAGGTGTGTCAGCCCACAGCCCAGCCCTGCCCAGGCGTGGAGGCCAGTCCCCTAGGGCCACCTAGACAAGGTTGGGTCCTGACACACCAGCATGGTCCCTCTGGCCTTCTCAGGGTTTTTGAGCTGGCCAGCAGCTCAGAGGTCCCTGGGAGCTGCTCTGGGTCCTCGGGGAAGTCAGCATGCATGGGAAATCCCTGGGCAGGAGCAGGAGACTGGTAGTGCAAGGGGAATAACCAGAACCACCGCCCCCTCCTTGAGAAGTCAGAGCTGCCTGTCCAGGGTAGGCTGCCAGAGCTCACTGGGGGCAGCCAGGGCTGCTTTGTGGTCCTGTAGGGATGTGCACACTCTTTTCATGTACACAGGCAAGCCCACCAGACAAGGCACCCCTGTCCACATCTCCTGGCTAGAACTTCCCCACTGGCCAAAGTGGTCTTAGCCCAGGGCTGAAGAGACTTTCCCAGAGGTTTTTGCCCTGGGGGCCATGGTACCCCTTGTGCTCTGACTTGTAAACTCAGGAGTAGCTGTTCACCTCTCAGGGTGCCCTCCACAGCCCACTGCTTTCTGCCTGCAGTGGCCTCTGAACAGGTCACTCTGAGTTCACAGCTTCTGCAGGTCCAGTGAGCCTGAGCAGCAAGTTATGGTCACAGTGGTGGGGATGAAGAGGGCAGGGGCTCTGCCTTGGCCCAGTTTCCAAGGCAGCTTTGGTGGCCTTGGCCCCGGAGGCACACACCTGTCCTCATCCCTGGCCACGCCGCAGTGTCCTGAGAGACAGAGCTGAGCCCCTCTTCTGGGGGCCCTGTATGTGAGCCTCTGGTGAGAATAGGCCAGCTCTGTGTCAGGGCAGCCACCAGTGTCTTGGGGAAGAGACAGGCATTGCCTTCCCAGCACTTGTGGCTGCTCAGGTAAGAGATGCCTATATCTCCTGGGGAGAGCTTCCTGTGGCTCAAGGCAGAGCCCAGGGCTCCTCCTCCCCAGATCACAGGGGACAAGGGCCTGACCAGCAGCTCTCTGCACAGGCATCCACCCTGATCTGAATGTGGTCTCTGATGGGGGAGCTCCTCATCCGTCCCTTCCCCAGGGCCAGGGCCTGGCACTGGTGGTGCCTGGTGCCGAGGCCACCCAGAGGGGGCTGCATACTCCCTCACTGGTCACTAAGGCTAGCAGTCAGGCCAGGCGTCCCATGTCAGCCCAAGTAGGGCTGTGAATAGGAGACAGGGGCGCCTTTGACAGCCCAGGACAACATGCCCACAGGCCCAGAGGGAGGAAAGGGTGGACGTCACTGCCCGTGCCAGGCACTGCTGGGTTTGCCACAGTTCACCCGGTGTTGCAGGGAGCAGCTGGTGTGTGTCCAGCTGAGAGCTTGGAGAAGAGAGAAGCTACTGCTGGAACATTGCAGGTCCCCCAGGCCACATGCTTCTCCTGGGTGGATGTTGTTGGACAACTGCTCCCTAGACAGATTGTTCTAGAATGTCCCTTGGGGCTCTGGGGACATTCCAGCATCACCCCTGCAGCTCAGCTCTCTCCCTGACCTGTTGTGTGGTTGGAATGTCACATGGCTTCAGGACACATTTAAGGTGCACACAGATCCTCCAGGTGCCCTGCAAAATGGCTTCAGCCTCAGGCTCTGGAAGCCACACAGGGCCAGTGTCTTCCTGTCTGGTTCTAGCCACAGAGCCTAGCCACTTGGAGCCCACCTCGTCCTCTCTTGCTGGCTAAGGTGACCAGACGTCCACTTTTGGCGGGACAGTCCCAATTTTTAATAATTTGTCCCGCGTCCTGCAGCGTTTTTAAAAAGTCCCAATTTTTGGAAAGAATGCATGACAAGCTAGGGGGCAGCAGGAGAATGGGAAGGGAACATAGGGTTTTCAGCTGCTGAAAAGGTTAATGTAACTCCATTTGGGAATGAAGAGGTTAATGTAACTTCATTTGGAAATAAAAAGGCTAATGTAACCTCCCTACTCCCCTCCTAGGCAAGGTATCAGAAGGAGACTGGCTCCCTCCCTTGCTTCTAGGCAAGGACAATTAGCTCAGAAGGAGCCAAACTGTCTGGAACAAACAAGTAGGCCCCCCCTCCCCCTCTAGAGTAAGGTGACCAGATGTCCCGCTTTTGGCGGGACAGTCCCAATTTTTAACAATTTGTCCTGCAGCGTTTTAAAAAAGCCCCAATTTTTGGAAAGAATGGACAAGCTAGGGAACACAGGAGAACAGGAAGAGAATATACAGTTTTCGGCTGCCATGTGGCTATTTCACCAGGATATGCGTTTTATATTATTTTTGTTAATTTTATAATGTTAAACTTTAATAATAACAAATAATTCTTGAGAACTGATTATTGAGAACTGCTTATCAAAGTTTGCATTGTTGTCAGGCCCCGCCCCCCCATGGTGTCCTGCTTTACCAGTGTTAAAATCTGGTCACCTTATCACTGGCCCCTTTTGAGCTGGGTCTACAGTATATACACATCATAGCATATTTATCTGGTGGCCACTGAGGGGCGTCTTGGTTGTTAGGTTTGGGTGACTGTAAGTAGGTCTGTGATAAAATCCCTGCATGAGTTCATGTTTGAGCTTGCACTTCCACCACTCTTAAGGAGGGCCTGGGACAGGCTGTGTGCCCTGAGGCAGGGGTCTACCTTGGTAAGACACTGTTGCCAGCACAGCAGGAGCTCCAACCATCTTACTGTGGATCGGTTGTTCCCCTCCATCCTTGGGTTGTGCAGTGGCGCCTTGTTGTGTCTGCATCTCTGATGACCGGTAACACTGAGCATCTCTTCATGTGTTGATGCCATCCATGTGTCTTCTTTGGTGACGTCTTTGACTCAGATATTTGCCCATGTTTTTACATTGTTTTTTCTTATTGTTGTGTTTTAAGAGTTCTCTGTATATTTCAGATATGAGTCCTTCATCAGGTATGTGTTTTGCAAAGATTTTTTCCCAGTTTGTGGCTCATCTTTTCATTCTCTAATCAGTGTCTTCTGAAGAGCACAATTTTTAAAATGCTGATGAAGTTCAATTCATTTTTTCCCCATGTTTGGGTGTCATTTCTTTTTTTCTTTCTTTCTTTTTTGCAGTTTTTGACCAGGGCTGGGTTTGAACCCACCACCCGCAGTATATGGGGCCAGTGCCCTACTCTTTGAGCCACAGGTGCCGCCCTTGGGTGTCATTTCTAAGGAATCTTTGCCTAACCCAAGATCACAAAGTTTTGCACAAGTTTGTTTTCATAAACAGGACTGTGACCTATTTTGAGTTAATTTTGTATATGATGCAGGTGCAGGTAGAGGGGCAGCTTTTGGGCATGGGGGTCACCAGCTGCTCGGGCTCCCTGGGCTGAGGAGTCCTTTCTCCCCTGCTGGCCTTTGTGCCTCCTTGGATGCAGCAGCTCCGTGTGTGTGGGGGGGCTCTCCCTGGACCCCCTAGGCAGTGCTGCTTAGCTGAGGTCTGTCCCCTGGCCACTGCTGTGCAGTACTGTCCCCTCAGCTGTGCTGTGAGTCTTGGGTAAGAGAAGCCCCTCAGCTTCCTTCTGACTTTCAAGCTCAGTTTCGATTTTCTAGATCCTCCACTCATTGTCCAGTCGGTTGTCTCTGGAATCGTGGACGCTGGGCTTTGCAACAGGACGGGCCTCCGTGGCCCCTTTCCTGCAGCCGCTCCCTAAAACTCCAGTGAGGTGCCCCCCTTTGCAGAGCAGAGCCTCACTCACAGGACCTCACCTTTAAACTATTGTAAAGCCTCACTGATTTGAATTAGTTGGGGTAGGTCAAAGTGGGAAAATGTTTTCTAAGTAAAATTATAAAAGGCAAAGAGCCACTTTAGAATCTCTTTGCAACTGCCCAAGGAGAGTTCCATGAACGTGCTTTGGGGCGGAGCATGACCTTGGTGCCCAGGCCCGCCCCGCTCTGCCCAGCCCTCCCCATCTGTCCCTACCCCAGGTTCCGCCTTCACCCAGGTTCCACGCCCCCACTCCAGACTCCGCCCCACCCTGCTCCAGCCCTCACCTCAGGCCCCACCCTCTCACTCTGCCCCCAGCCCATGCCCATCTGTCCCCACCCCTGGCTCTGCCCCACCCTAGGTTCCACCCCACCCAAGGCTCCACACCCACCCCAGACTCCACCTTCAGACTCTGCCCCACCACACCCTTGTCTGCCTTCATCACTGGGCTCTTCCCCCATCCCAACTCTAACCCTTACAGCTGACCCTTTCAGGCTCTTCCCCACCACACGCATACCCCAGGGTCCGCACACACACAGGCATGCACACGTACATACACGCACAGCGCCCCCAGGCCCGGCCTCCCAGCCCCCCTAGGGTTCCCAGGCGCTCTTTCTCAGTGGTTGCTCGCGGTTGGGGTAGGACCCTGACACTTGTGTTCTGTGCACGCATTGCTGCCGCCCAAGGGCGCCCCCCGCTGGCCTTCTGTGGTGACCCCCGCCCCGGATGGGCCCCTACTCTTCTCTCCTCCCAGATAAGGTGGGTTTGCGGCCAAGCCGCGGCCAGGAGAGGCGTCTCTCAGGCGCCCACCCAGCCGGGCCTCAAACCCCGCCCTCGCAGGGGGAAGTCTTGCCGGACCATCACCTTCGACCAGTTCCAGGAGGCGCTGGAGGAGCTGGCAAAGAAGAGGTTCAAAGACAAGAGCGCTGAGGAGGCGGTCCGTGAGGTGCACCGGCTCATCGAGGGCAAGGCGCCGGTCATCGCCGGAGTCACCGTGAGCGGGAGGGCGGGGTTCGGGGCGGGGCCTGGTGGACCTGGGCAAAGGTAGAGCCAGGCCCAGGGGTGGGACTGGGCCTGGCGTAGGGGCGGAGGTCACGGAACCACACGGGGACGGGGGTGGGGGGCTGGGGAGAGGGGCAAGCGTGGGTTTCTTGAGAGTGTGGGCAACCGCATCAAGAGCTGGCGGACTTGGAGAAGGGGCAGGGTCTCGGCGCTGCAGATGCAGGGCTACCCCAGTCCAGGAGCAGTGATCCCACATCTGCAGCTGAGCCTGAGCGGTTCAGCCTCACCTCCATCGCCCTGTCCTTCAGGAGACAGATTTGTCCAGGGTGGGTCTGAGCCTCACGGGTCTCTTCCCTGGCCCACAGCTCACCTCTTCCCTCCGGTGCTCTCTTTGCAGAAGGCCATCTCGTCTCCCACCGTGTCACGGCTCACCGACACGACCAAGTTCACGGGCTCCCACAAGGAACGCTTTGACTCCTCAGGGAGGGGCAAGGGCAAGGCCGGCCGAGTAGACCTGGTGGACGAGTCTGGCTACGTACCCGGCTACAAACACGCGGGCACCTATGACCAGAAGGTGCATGGGGGCAAGTAGCGCCGCGCATCCACACCCGTGACGCTGCAGGTGTCCGGGAGCAGGACTGCACCCACGTCTTCATTACATTCCTGTGGATGTCCCTGTGCTCACTCGGGCAGAACTCATAGGGCCTTGCTGGGGCTGAGGCAGCTGGGGAGGCCACTCCAGGCCTCCCTCCTGCTTTGAGCCCAACCCCTCTCAGACACCAGGTCCGAACCCTGATTCACTGACATTCCCTAACACACCTGCCTTGGCCTGAGCTGGAAAGGGGACAGCCATTTCTGAAGTGTCTCCTGGGATTGCACCACACTGGCCACCTAGTTTGAGGTGAAAGGGGTGTTTTAAAGGAGTGGGTTGTCATAGGGACCCTGGGAAACAGTCTCTGTAGAGGCCACCCTGACTTCCTACTGGTAGACACTTTCTAGGGGGCAGCAGGAACTAAGGAACTAACCAACAGCACAAAAATAACAGACTTGGTCCTGTCTGTGGCCTGTCCTGCGGCAGACACCAGAGTCCTCTGAGCCTTCCTGGTGAGGGCAGGTGTGGGAGGCAGGTCCCACAAGCACACGATTGCGCATGCTCACACACACTTGTGTACACATGCCCACACACACACACACACTTGCATTCACAGTTGAAGTAACAGGAAAGCTGAGGGGCACAATGGCAGCTTCCTGCTGCCCAGAGGAGTCTCCTGGCGCAAGAGGTTGGCACTCTTCCAGTTTGCTTTCCTAAGAAGATGGTGTCTGCATGTCCACTCTCAGAGTGGGTGAGAAGATTCAGGATGTCCTGTCCCCATGTTGCCAGGTGGGAGCCTCACCAGCATGTGCCTGGCATCTGTGCCCAGCCTCTCACTGGTCTTGCTGGTCCCTGCTTTGCCCCCAAACCTCCTGACAACCACAACCTGTGCAATGTCACCTCTCCCTAAGTACCTCTCTCTAACCCTACCCACCCCGCTGGGTGCAGGACACTAAAGAGAAACAGGGCCAGGGAAGACCCCCCAGGCCTGCAGCATGAACTGGAGTTTCATCCTCTCCACCTGCAGCCTAGCACACAGGAGTCAGTGGGCAGAACCTGTCCAGGACCCCCATACAGTCACACCTTGAGCACAGAGCAGGTGGCCTGTCCTTGCACGTGTCTGCACAAGAATTGGGTGTGCTGTTCCATCCTGGGGATGCCAATCGGTGTGTCCACCTGTTGGCACAATGGCCCCTGCCGTGACCTGTCCTTTGACATGAACAACTACAGCCTTGAGTGTGGCCTGCTGGTTTTGGAGCTGATCCTGGAAAGAGCCCACAGCAGCCTTGGGGAAATACTCTCAGGGTGGATGGCTGTCCAGGCCTGAGATTATGGCACAGGTGGGCAGCAGTCTTCTCCTGCATGGCTACCGCACATAGACATATCACCCAGAGAGCACCTGGTCAGGGGCAGCCCACCCACCTGGGTGGGGCTAGAGCTTCAAGGTTCTCACCCACGTGATCCTCTAAGATCTGGGATCTCCCCAGAGCTCTCAAAAGGGATGCCTCAACTCAAGGATGGGGTGGCTCAGGGGCAGTTTTCTTCTGAGGTTCTGGATATCCACGGTGCCTGGCATTAAAGACCAAGGAACACTAGCTCTCAGGCCTCAAGACTCCCTTAGAGGGTGTCCCACCCTGCCCTAGGCTCCTGGCTGTCCCAGGCTGCCCCTCCTGTGAAACCTAGAGGCAAAAGTGATACTCTGGAATGGCTGAAGACAACTTTTGTGCAAAGGGTTTAATAATCTGATCACAATCCAGAAAGCCCATGTGTTTGAAATACCCGTGACTTTCACTAAGAGTTACTAAACAAGGCTCTTGTGCAGGTTGGAGAAGCTTGGGGTGAAAAGAGCCAGCCCCCCAACCCACCCAGGGTTCCTGCCTCCCCAGAAGCCCCATTCAGAGCATGGCCCTGAAGGAATGCTCTGTCTCTTCGTCAGAGGCTGCTTTTCTCTCATTCTTATGTCCATGAACAACCTGGTCACTACAGTCACAGCTCAGTCACCTGAAACAGACGTGATTTCAGCAGGACCTCAGCCCTAGAGCTGAGCATGGCCCGCCAGGACAGAGGGACAGGCTAGGCCAGTGTCTGAGGTTCCAGGATACACATCAGGGACAGATGCTCTCTTGGACCACAGAGATCGGTGGGGACACATAACCCTAAAGGGAGAGGGGCCAGAGCACCAGGACACTGTCTCCTGTTCAGCGGGCCATCATCAAGCAAGAATATGTCCAGACAAAGGTCCAAGCCCCATCAGGGCTGGCTGCCTTTGCTGCACACTGGGAAACTGGATCTAGGCAGAAGGAATAATGCAAGTGCCCATCCTCAATGGGACTGCAGCCCACCCAGCCTCTCAGAGAGCAGACCCCCGTGATAGACAGGTCACCATGTCCCAAGGTCAGCACCTTACCACAGTGCCCTCCCAGAACTAGACAGAACAGCCCAGGGCAGTGGGCTCACAGGTCCGACCTGTGGAGCTCCAGCACCCCAATCTCAAGCCCCTGGAAGAAGCTCTGCAACAGTGAACACTTCAGAATGCATTCCTGACCTCTTGTCAGCAACCTCTGGGGTTTTGAATGAAAATCAAGGGTCCGTTCTTCCTTGGTGGCCTAACCTGCCCTCACCTGGACAACTCTGGGCTCCTGGAGGGGGAGGCCTCATGCCCCAGACTCTTCCCTCCATGTACTCTTCTGGTGGCACCTGGCGCACAGCACCAAAAGGCCGATTAGTGGTCTCCAGTGCGTCCCCTGCCCACCCTGGGAAAGTTCCAAGCTTTCCTCAGATACATGTAAGCCAGGACAGCATCCTTCTCCAGTCAGTTTCAAACTGTAGATTTGAAACACATTCTCCCTCCCATCTATGTCACCTAGCAAGGAAGGGGTAGTAAAAATTAGATGATGAGAACATAGTAGTCACCATTCTGTCGGTTTAAAATTGTCTGTTGGATTTGTCATTGCACCTGTAGGTAGCCTCTGAACACAGAACATGTGCTTGGACCCCAACTTCACTGGACAAAACAGACACACATTCTCCCCAGTTTCTGAATATTGTGAACACACAGGCAGGGTGTTTGTCTTTTTTGCATGTTTGTATGCAATGCCAATTAGCTTCTACTAACAATGGCTAATTACAAATTAAATGTCTATATGTGAATAAAAGAAACTGCACAGTATGCAACCAGGAGACAGGGACAGCTTCTGCCAGGGGTGACACCCAGGACACAGGGACAGGTTCTATATGGAGGACAATGCTGATAGTGTCTAAACGTCAGGAAAGAAGAGGGCAGGAGAACAACAACACTGATCACACCAGAATATTTATTTCTATTTAATGCTATAGGATAAACAATTAGCTAGTGGTCATAAGTTAGCTTTACCAAAATCAAAGTTCAAATTGTATGTTTAAAATACCATAGTGAAAGATTTATATTTATACTGGAGTATTTTTACACCTCTTAATATCCTTGGTCTTAAGTTTGGGGCAAGTGAAATTATAGCAGAGGCCCATAAGATGGGAAAAGGCCGTGCAGGGCTGCTTGCCTTGTGTGCTGCCTGTGTCTGTACCAGTGGTAATAGCTCAGGTAGGTGGGGCAGAGGCTGGCACCCAAACTGGGCTGTCCAGTGCCTGCGCTGTGAAGTTTCATGGCACCCTATGCTGTGCTTACGTGTTTGTGGCTACTGCAACCAGAGCTGGGTGGAACTGACACAGATACCTTGGCCCTCAACACCTAAGGCAGGGGTCCTCAAACTTTTTAAACAGGGGGCCAGTTCACTGTCCCTCAGACTATTGGAGGGCCAGACTACGGGCCCCAGGACGAGTTGGCTGCTAAGCAGGACAAGCAGCGGTGGCAAAAACACTAGGCAGGCCGGATAAATGTCCTAGGCGGGCTGCATGTGGCCCGCAGGCTGTAGTTTGAGGATGCCTGAAAGGGAAAGGGTCTGTCCAGCTTGTGCTTTCTGCAGGTGACCATGCTGGCTACTCCACCCTGTAGCACTCACCACATAGGGACATCCTGCCATCACCTGCTCCAGACAGCACAGGCTGGCAATTCAGCTGCACTGTGAAGTAATTGATGGGCTGGACGCCCTCAAACACTGATGCTGAGTAACTCTCCCCCATTCATGGCTGAGTGTGTGGCTGTCAGGGGCCCACGGGGATGTGTTGGGGATGCTTTAGTTAACTAACACTCTTTCTTTAGACCTCTTGATAAACTAAACCAAGCCAAACAACAGGGGAAACCTGTACCACTTAATGGAAACTTGAAAGGGATAATGTATACTACTAGTTTGTACTAAGTTTTTTTCAAGAAAGGAAGACAAATATATATATATATGCAATATATTTTTACACTGTTTTATTAATGTTAGGGACTACTGAGTGTAACACTTTATTAGTGTGATGGGTAACACCCACATAATGGGTGTTCAGACACAGAAGGGCTCTTCTGCTGACCGCCACACTCACCAGGAGTGCCTGGGGGGGCCCTGCTGCCCCTGCAGAGCGTGAGGTGTGGAGCCCCTGCTGGACATGCTGTCGGCCTGGGTTGCAGCCTATAGTGAAACAGCTCGTGATCGTCTGTTCATTGCTCCTCATATGTTTGCCGTTGTTAACATTGTGTGTTCAACTGGTAAAGTGATTGAATAAAGGTCTTAGAACGTTTTCCTCAGAGTGCATGCTGTCTGTACTAGCAGTCACACCCTCTGGCTGGCTGGCCCTTGACACGCATAGACATACATAGGGCAGCCTGGGAGGGGTCGCAGGGGGACACAGAGCAGAGCATGGATGCCCACAGGGCCTGGGCACCATTTCTCCTGAGTCTGAAGGAGACTTTCACATCCAGGCCCAGACAGGAGGACTGTTGACCTGCCCTGAAGAGAGACAGGTGCACCAGCCCTCTGTTGGCTTCAGGGCCCAGGCTAGTTCTGGTTCCAGGGGAAAAGACACCAACTGCCCTGGTGATAACCACAGCAGCACCTAAAGGAACCCAAAGTACTGGCTCAGTGGCTTATTTTCCAAAATGAGGATAAAATGAGGCATATTTAGACAACAAAAGAAGAACCTGCCGCCAGCAAGCAAAGAATTGTAAAGCAGAAAGAAATGTCACAGATGACATTTGGGACAGGAAGTGAGGCAAAGAGAATAAGGAGCTAAAACACTCCAAGTTAACGGTGACTATATTCATGCCTTGTGAGAGTGGATGGTCTCCTTAAAATACCTAGAAACAGCTGCACACAAGGCAGAAGGCAGCATGGGCAGCAGTGTGGAAAGGCACAGAGGAGGCACATGTGACGAGGAGCAGAGGGGCCCAACCAGGTAAAGAGGTGGCTTGGACCGGCAGGGGTGGAAAGAGGAAAAGATACAGAACAGCTAACATGTATCTCAAATATATCAATTATATTTTCTGATAAAGTAAGAAAGAATCATTAAACAGGAAAATTGATAAAATTAGATTTTTAACCCAAATTTATTAATAATTTTGGTATGGCTAAAAATAGGTAAGAACAGAAATTGAAATGAAAAGAAAATTATCTAGTAAAGCTACTAAAAATATGGCTAAGGAGTTAAAGGAAACATAATGGAAAACAAAAAATAGATGAAGAGAACCAAATAGAATTTTAGAACTCAAAATACAGTTTCTTGTGTTAAAAATTCACTATGGAGGCATTATATCAAATTAGGTATGAGGAAGAAAAGACTAGTAAACTTTGCAGCAGGGCAATAAAGCAATCCTCAGTGCAGCACTGAGAGAATGAAGGGTGGAAACCCAAATTGCATCTAGTGACCTGTGGGCCCATTGTGTCTGATAGAAGTGCAGCGAGAGGGAGCTCGGAGGCTGGGTCAGGCTGGACATGAGGAAACAGTGGCCAAACTTTTCCAAATTTGATGAAAAATAGAAACTCACAGGCCCAAGAAGCTGGGTTAGGGCTTCATGAAATGAATGGGTTTCTTTCTTTTCATGAAACCCTAATGAGAGAAACAAACAGCATGTGATCATTTTCTACAAGCTTAAAATAGATTTAATATTCAAATCTTTTAATACTTTAAAATAAATGATCTGATAATTAACTCCACCTCTAATGCACTTTCCTGCTAAGTTACAAAAGCTGGTGCTGGCTCAGTGGTTTAGGGCACCAGCCACATGCACTGGGGCTGGCAGGTTCAAACCCAGCCCAGGCCTGCTGAACAATAATGACAACAACAACAAAATAGCTGGGGATTGTGGCTGAGGGTGACATAGTGAGACTGTCAAAAAAAAAAAAAAAAAAAAGCTGGTGCTGCTGATAGAACAGAGAGGCAGCAGAGATGGACATGCTGAAGCCCAGCAATATTTCTTCTGAGGGGGAAAGAACTGACCACTTCTTGGGTTTCTCGGGTGACATAATTCTCACATATTTCACACACAGCTTGTATGGGGTACCTGCTTCTTGAGGTCTGTTCATTCATCCTAAATCAATTGAACATTAAAAAAAAATTGTCTTGTTTTACCAATCAAATTTACATAATCAAATGTCATTATTAAAGTTTTGAGATACACAAAAATCAAGAAATTTAAAACCTGCATGGGCAGAAACATGAAGCCCTCCCAGCAACACTGATAACCTGAGGAAAGTGAAATCTGCCCCGATGAGTCAGAAAGAATGCTGCCACCTGTGTTTCTTGTAAGTGAAATAATGGACGTAATATGGTTTGTCACAAAACTTTCATAGGGACCCGTGTATAACATAAAAGATGAAGTTTCCAAAAATCTAGTTTTATGTCCTATTATGACATAATTTTAAGAAATACACCACAGGAGAAAAGAGAGAGCTGAGGCTTGGGTAGTTATTTTTACGGCTTTATGTTAATATCATGAAACTACTTTTGCATGTTTCCCACATCTATAAATGATGCTTACATTACATCTTGGCATTTATTTATTCCTGCTTATCTACTATGTTGTGTAGCTTGTTTTATAAAAGAATTCAATGAGAAACTCAGTTATATTTTATAAAGAACTACTTAAAAGGTTAGCTTTTCATTGCAATATATAACACTCAAGAAGAACTGCTTGTTACACAAAACTACTTTGTCATACGTAGCTTTCTTCTACATTAGGCTGAAACACATTGCATTTACTTCATCTCAGGATATTTGGTGAAAAATTAATGGTCTTCTTTCTCGAAATTTGTCACTGTGTCTTGTCTCAAAATATGCAAAGGGCTTAGATTAATTTTAAGATGCTTTAGAAAATGAGTCCTAAATACATTTTAAAAATCAGTGGTAATTTACACATGGAAGAGACAGCTCTCACCCGCAAATATACTAGAAAGAAACACACAGGTGCAAACCATCTAGCTTCTCAGCAGGTATCAGGACAGGCAGCTGCCACGGCCAGCACCATCGTGGGGACGCAGGGCCACAGTCTTCTTGAGCTCCTGGAAGCTCCAGTGCATCTGCTCCACCTCTGCCCTGTGCTGTGCCCGCGCCTGGCTCAGCTCCTGCAGCAGGTGCTCGTTGGTGCCGACCAGGGAGCTGAGGGACAACAAGGCCATGCTCAGCCCCTCATGTCTGCCTCCACCCACCAGCATGAAGCCAGCTGACCCCTGTACATGGCCAGGCTGGTCCTGCCGGCTGCTGCCTACCTCCTTCCCTACAGACCACTGGGGCTAGGGCTATCTTGCAAGATGAATGAATGAGCTGAACAGTAGAGGACATGAATAGCGCCCTGCACTCCAGCCTGTCAGGTTTCTTTATTTTTATTTTTTTGAGATAATGATGATAACCTTAAGGGCTGGGAAAACAATGTTCTAATTCCAGAAAAGAGCCAGGGATTAAACTGTTTCTAATTTTCAAATTTAGTAATTCTGTCACAGTAACAAGGTAATAGAAATCTTGATTTTCAATACTGTTAACCATTTTTATTTCAGAAAGGAGTTTTAGAAAAAAAGCACTGCTGCATTTTGCCAACTCTGTCGTCACCAACAAGCAGGCTTAAGGACATCTGGAGTGTAACAATCATTCTACAAAGCAGGGCATACTGAGCTCAGCCACTTTAGCCACAAAGATGTCACTCCCACTGACAAACCTAAGCGCAAGCACTGGCTCTGTTTGCTTGAACCACTGTAATTCCTGCTGGCTGGGCAGAGCTCAGACTGGACACAGCATGAGTCCCTGGGCATCTGGAGGCTGTGCCCTTCACTTTGTCCACACCCAGGACACAGTGCTCAGAGAACATGACTGCTATCACCTTGACTGCCACAAATGGGCAACCATGTGCCAGGGTGATCCATCCCTACTGCCACTTGTCTGCACTCGTGGTACTTTTCTTCCTTCTGGTCTAAGCTCAACCTCACCTGTCAGGGGCCCCTTCCTTTCTGTAACGTATGCCTGTGATGGGTCCCTGGGGGGTCTGTAGCCTTCAGCCTGAAAGGCCCTTTCTGTGCCTATGCCCAGACTGCACCCAAACCCAGGAGTGTGGTAACCTCTGCCCAAGGAGGGAGTGAGAAAAGAGAATGAAGGGAGTGCACTGACCATGGGCTGCCTTTCTTGCTAGGGTGACAGGACATGGCTTGCACAGCTGAACCGTACAGCCCAGGGAGACCCATCCTGGCCTTGGTAGCTCATCTCCCTACTGAAGCCAACTTTCCTCTTTGCACCACCCACTTCTAGTACTCAAGTCCCTGAATAGAAGCTTCTGCCCTGATGGTTCCACTCAGGGAATAAAGGCAAAAGCTCCATGTTCTAAGCAAACAGCCAGAGGTGCAGGGAAGGTAAAGGCAGAAGGCACATGGCCAGGAGGACCAAGACACTTGCCTACCTCTCGCCTTCCTGCACATGTCCCTCATCTCCACTGGCCACAATGCACAGTCACACCTCATGGTCCACTAACAGCCCACACCTCACAGTCCACAGTTGACACAGTATAACACAGTCATACCTCCCAGATCACCCCTCATGATTCACACCTCACAGGGTCACACCTCACCGTCCATACATCACAGGTCATACCTCGCATGTCACCTGCATGGTCCACACCTCACAGGTCACACCTCACAGTCCACACTTCCCAGTTCACACTTTCCAGTCCTCATTTCATGGGTCACTCCTTCCAGGGCATGCCTCACAAGTGCACACCTAATGGGCCCACACCTTAAAGTCACAGCTCATAAACCATATTTTATAGGTCACACTTCATGGTCCCACCTCAGCATCCACATTTCACAGGTCATACTTCACACATCTACACCTCACAAATCCACACTTCATGGGTCTACCCTTCATGATCACATCTCTTGGTCTACACCTCATGGGTGTGTACCTCAAGGGTGACACCTCACAGAATGCTACTATAGGAAGGGTCTCACTTTTCACTGAAAGGGAAGTTCATGGAATTTCCAAGTCCACATAGTGATACATGTGGGTCCAGGACTCACACCAGCTGTTCCTCAGTGCCTTCCTTTTATACCACAGGCCAGCCTCACCCGCCTTGTGCCCAGGCCTCCTCCCCAGAGCCCCTCCCCCGAGCCCCTCCCTCCAGGCCTCCTCCCCAGAGCCCCTCCCCGAGCCCCTCCCTCCAGGCCTCCCAGGCAGGCACCTGTGGCTTTCCTGCAGCATCTGAGTGAGCTCCTGGATCTTGTCGTAGTGCTCCAGATGCTGCTTCAACTCCACAATCTCACCAGAGAGCCTCTTTACACTTGTTTGAAGTCCTTAGAGACAGAAAAGTATAGCTTTAGTTACTGAAACCTACTCATACTTTTTTTTTTGGAGACAAGAGTCTCACTTTGTCTTCCTTGGTAGAGTGCCATTGCATCACAGCTCAAAGCAATCTCAAACTCTTGGGCTTAAGCAATTCTCTTGCCTCAGCCTTCCAAGTAGCTGAAACTACAGGCACTCACTGCAATGCCTGGCTATTTTTTTTTTTTTTTGGTTGCAGTTGTCATTGTTGTTTAGCTTGGCCTGGGTGGGGTTCAAACCTGCCAGCTTTGGTTTATGTGGCCAGTGCTGTAACCACTGTGCTATAGGCACTGAGCCATTATTTGTACATTTTGAAAACAAAATCAATTCTAGATTGGATTAGATCTAGGTTACAAGAAAAAATATAGCTGGAAAAAAAACAGGTTTTATAAGACTCAAAGAGAGGGTGAACACAAATGTAAGGCCTCATCTACATGTCCAATCGCTTCTCCACTGGGCCCACCTTTGGCTCCCCTCCTTGGGAGGGGAGGAAGCTGTGGGATTCTGCCCTCCAGATACCCTGAAGAGCCACACCCTTGCACTGAAGGTCCTGACACTGGCTGAAGGCCCTTTGATGGATCTGCCAGCAAACTATTCCTGAAGGGAGGGCCTGTGGTTTAGGGAGAAGCACCCACAGCAGCCACCTGTCTCTGATATGCCTGCTGAGTTCACATCCATCAGTGAGGGAGCATGTGACTGGTTTCCATCTGCACAACTCCTGTCTCTCTCTCTTTTTTTTTTTT